AGCTGATATACCCTTGCAGTCATCAAATATGTCGATCAAAATGCATAAGGGCTAAACAACATTGAAACTATGACGATTTCTCTTTTAATTTTTCATATTTTTGACTATTGTTCGTATGGCGGCTATATGATATACAGTAGAATCCGGTTATAGTGATTTTCAAAGGACCGACGATTTTTCGTCGTTATACCCGGAAGACGCATTAGGCAAACGGAACAAACAAATTTTTGTTGTTTACTCATTTATGGTTGCCGTCCTCGTAATAGGTTTTTAAAACAAATCAAATTAATTTTTTAATTAAAACAAAAAATTTAATATATTAGGTTGTCAAAAAAGTCTTGCGCTATTTTCGCTAGTTGGCGCTGAAAGCGCGTAGTTCTTGTTATATTCGTCGCATCAGTCGCATTAAGTCGTTCGTTAGTTATAGCGTCGCAGTCATGGAGAAAATAAAGAGAAAATACGGCATATTTTACAGTACTACTACGATAAAGGCAAAAATGCATCTCAAGCCGCCAATAAAATTTGTGCAGTTTATGGACCCGATACAGTTTCCATTTCCACCGCACAACGATGGTTTCAACGTTATCGTTCTGGTGTAGAGGTGGTCGAAGATGCGCCACGCTCCGGAAGGCCTGTCGTCGAAAATTGCGATAAAATCGATGAATTGGTCGAAAGAGACATAGTAGCAGTCGTAGCATCGTCAAGAGCTGGGCATGAGTCATAAAACCGTTATTAACCATTTGAAGAAGCTTGGAGTCACTAAGAAGCTCGATGTATGGGTGCCACACGAATTGACGCGAAAAAACATCTTTGACCGTATCGACGCATGCGAATCGCTTCTAAATCGCAACAAAATCGACCCGTTTTTGAAGAGTATGGTGACTGGCGATGAAAAGTGGGTCACTTACGATAACGTAAGGCGCAAATCAGCTGCTCCCCTATGGCCAAACGCTCAATTCGGACCTGTACTGCCAACAACTGGACCGCTTGAAGACAGCACTCATCCAGAAGAGGCCATCTTTGATCAACAGAGGCCGAATTGTCTTCCACCAGGACAACGCCAGGCCACACACATCTTTAGTGACTCGCCAGAAGCTCCGGGAGCTCGGATGGGAGGTTCTTTTGCATCCACCGTATAGTCCGGATCTCGCACCAAGTGATTACCACCTGTTTCTGTCCATGGCGAACGCGCTTGGTAGTCTGAAGTTGGCCACAAGAGGGTCCTGTGAAAATTGGCTCTCCGAGTTTTTTGCCTATAGGGAAGCGAGCTTCTATGAGAGGGGCATTATGAAGTTGGCATCTCGTTGGGAACGCGTCATCGAACAAAACGCCGCATATTTGACTTGAATCGCATTATTGTAACCAATTTTATGAACAATTTAAAATTCAATAAAAATACCGCAAGACTTTTTTGACAAACTAATATTTAATTCAAACACATGGGTTTCTCATAATACTGAAAACTGAATGAGCTTACACATGGTGGTGACGACAGTTTAAGATCCTTCGTGTCGCTGCTACGCACACAGCCAAGGGTGCCGATCACTGATAAATACATACATTTATAACAGCGCGTTTTTATACCCTTGCAGAGCAAAAGGGTATTATAATTTCAGTCAGAAGTTTGCAACGCAGTGAAGGGGACACCTCAGACCCCATAAAGTATGTATATTCTTGATCAGCATCACGAGTAGAATCAGAAAACGTCTGTACGTCTGTCCGTCTGGCCGTCTGTCCGTCTGTCTGTTTCTCTTCAAACTAGTCTCTCAGTTTTAAAGCTATCTTGCTGAAACTTTCCCAAAAGGTGTGTAGTTATTGCACGCAGTATATAAGTCGGAACGAGCCGGATCTGGCGACTATATCGGATAGCTCCAATACGAGAGAATGAAATTAAAAATTCTCAGGTCGTTGTTTTTGATCAGATCGACTTGAATTCTTCCAGATGGCGTTTTCTAACTACTATTGAATTTCGGATTAAATTTGATAAAAATCGGATAACTCTATCGTATAGCTGCCATAGCAGAGATCAAAAAATATATATAGAATTTTTCATCAAGTTTTTTAACAACTCTTATATTGAGAAAAAAGTTTCATAAAAATCGGCCAACTATATCTTATAGCTGTCATAGGAAAGATCGAAAAATCTATATAGAAATAATGGAAGTAAAATTATACCATCGTGGTTTTTCATCAGACAAGTATCATTTTTTAAATATAGAGTTTTCTTACGAATCTTAAATTACGAATCAAATTTGATCAAAATCGGACAACTATATCATATAGCTCCCATATGATCTATAGTCGGAAATATGGAAAATGAATAGAAAAATCGTTATAGCTTCGATGTTGTTTAGCCTTTATGTATTTTTTTCGACATATTTGATGACTGCAAGGGTATATAAGCTTCGGCTTGCCGAAGCTAGCTTCCTTTCTTGTTAAGCTTAAATTTGGCAGTATCGCACTGTATTTTTTGGTCACGACGCAATATCCGGTTGAACTTTTTAATTTTTATTAAAAAATTTGGTTGCTATAAGCGGTTTGTCGCTAAAAGCGGAAACGCACTAAGCGGAGGCCCTTTCATATAAGTTTGTATGGGGGCCAACCAAACCATCGAGTTTTCATCGCACAACCCGGACGGACACTATAAGCGGAGTCGTTATAACAGGATTCTACTGTATACTCTTGATCAGCATCACGATCTGAATCGAAATACGTCTGTACGTCTGTCTGTCTGTTTTCCTGTCCGTTTCTAGGTAAACTAGTCTCTCAGTTTTAAAGCTATCTTGCTGAAACTTTCTTAAAAGGTGTGTAGTTATTGCACGCAGTATATAAGTCGGAACGGGCCGGATCGGCCGATTTTATCGGATAGCTCCCATACAAGAGAAATAAATAAAAAATTCTCACTCCGTTATTTTTGATCAGATCGACTTGGTTTCTTCCAAATGGTGTTTTCTAATCACTATTGAATTTCTGATAAAATTTTATCAAAATTGGACGACTATATCATATAGCTGCCAGATATAGCAGAAAGATAAAAAAATCTATTAATAATATTGAAAAAAAATTATAACGTCGTGGCTTTTAATCCCACGAGCATGATTTTCAAAATGTGGAGTAACCCTTGAATTGAGAATAAATTTCATTAAAATCCGACAACGATAGCTTCCATAGGAAAGATCAAAAAATCTATATTAAAACTAGCTGACCCGGCAAACGTTTTGCCACCAAATGACTTTATAATTTCTGTACATAATTTACTCAGTTCTAGACTTATAAAGTCATCTGGAGCGCTGTAAACCATGAGGGAATATAAAAATAACAAAGAGCAAACATTTCTTTTAAATTATTATAAGTTATTACTTATAGTTATATATCATTAATTAAAAAATTACAACAGTAACACTATTAAACAATATCAGTAAGAATTTATGTGGTTCATTTGGCATTGGCAGCAGTGAGCCCATTTTATGATAAACTTGGGCTCTAATTTTGAATGTAGAATTGTAATTTTGACCATTTGCATTAGTATTTCGAACTATTTCTGTTGCTCCGAACGATGTCATTTGAAAGCATGAATTAAATGTTCGAATTGACTTCAGGAACACGTTAGAATCTGGATCCGTGCCGATAAGTAAGCCCGGTCAATGGTTCAGGTGGTGTTTCAATTTCTGGTAGTTGCACTTTTCCTGACGCGCAACACATCCCAACTGGCTCATTTTTAAATTTCAGAGCATGACAATGCGGACATTCCTTTTCCATAGCACCAATTACCACTTTTGAGTGAGCATAATACTCAATATCGGGCTCATACTGGAATGCTAGACGCAGTAATGAATCATATATAAATGCTCGATGTACTTGTTGTCGTTGTTGGTCATTTGTTCTGCGTCTATTGACTGTGAAACGGCGTGGTTGTCGTTGTTCTAATCTTCTGACTTCATTGCGTTTAGCTCGTGTATCTTCTGGCTCTTCTTGATGCAATTGCGCTATTCTATCGGATCTTCTATTTCGCATGTATCGAGATCTACTTCTATAATGGATCAAATCTCCCCCTTTGCGTTTCCTTGGCATTGCTCACTGGACAAAACACTCATAAATAGAATTAATGATTTTACTTAATGATGAAGGATTTTCGCCCCAGTTTAAATTGATTTAAAATGCTATGGTAGCGTGTTTTTGTCAGTGTGATGAGGTAGTAACTCACTTTATATGCGATTTTTGGTATGTCGAACAGGATTTAAGGGGATGAAAATAGATGTTGGTTGATTCTCAGACCTATGCAATACGCTCACAAAATTTCATGAGAATCGGTATAGCCGTTTCGGAGGAGTATGGTAACAAAAACTGTGACACGAGAATTTTATATATTAGATAACATTATGGCATCGTTGTTTTTCATCAGACAATCGTGATTTTTGGAACATAAAGATTTTTAATGACTCGTGAATAACGAATTGAATTTCATAAAAATCGGACAACTATATCATATATGTAGCTGCCATATGAACAATACTCGAAAATATGGAAAATTAATAGAAAAATCGTCATAGCTTCGATGTTGTTTAGCTTTATGTATTTTGTTCGACATATTTGATGATTGCAAGGGTATATAAGCTTCGGTTTGCCGGAGCTAGCTTCCTTTCTTGTTTTTAGTAGGTTCGATTTTGTACTCGCTCGCTGAAGGTACGGTCGCTGATCGCCTGCCCCTTCCTTTTCGTTTTATAATCGGTCTGGCTGCCTAACCAACTCTTCATAAACATTAACTTTGTAGATTAAGGCCTTTGTGCCATTTAAATAAATAAATGCAAAATTAATTGAAAATTTGTGTGGTTTTATTTTCTTAGGGCACCACTATAGTGTTAGTTAAAAAACTCCCCCACCCAACACACCGAAAATGAAAAAAAAATTTGGAAGTGCTCTTGAATGTCATAGTATTTTTTCTTTACTTTATTAACTTTATTTTAATAACATGCTCTTGCTTATAATTTATTATATTTCAGGATTTCCGGAGGCAATGATAGCACTAATCTTAAAGGATGTATTATCAGCTCTTTCATATATTCACTCTCAGCATTTTGTTCATGGATCTATAAGGGCTAAGCATATACTTATAAATACCAACAAAGCTGTTATATCAAATGTTGGTGATTGCCAAACTTTAATTAATAGAGGCAAAAAAAAAAGTTTTTTATATGGATCTACAGTGGGAAAAGAAGATCAGCTGTTTTGGACAGCCCCAGAAATCTTATTTCAAAACCTTTCTGGTTATACAGAAAAAGTAGATATATACTCTGTCGGAATTACATGCTGCGAAATGGGAAATGGGTTTCAACCATTTAAAGACACAGAACTAACATACATGTATATTGAAAAAGTTCGTGGCAGTCTATCTTTGTTAATGGAAAAAAGCAACATTCTAGACGACCAAGGTAACTATTCTCATATCAATAAACCTCTTAACCGTGTAGTAAAAAAGTAAAGTATTTGCTTAAAGTATATATGTTTGGCATCATCATCATTGAAATCTCAAAATAAAACGGAATAAAAACAAGAAAGAGGCCGAAGTTTCTGTATTTTCAACGATTGTTTATACGAAAGCTATACGATATAGTCGTCCGAATTTTATTAAATTTAATTCGAAATTCAAGAGTCATTAGAAAACTCTATAATTCAAAAATTGTGCTTTTCTGATGAAAAACAACGATTTTTATACCCTTGCAGAGCAAAAGGGTATTATAATTTCAGTCAGAAGTTTGCAACGCATTGAAGGAGACACCTAAGACCCCATAAAGTATATATATTCTTGATCAGCATCACCATCTGAATCGAAATATGTATGTACGTCTGTCCGTCTGTCCGTCTGTCTGTTTCTATGTAAACTAGTCTCTCAGTTGTGAAGCTATCGTGCTGAAACTTTCCGAAAAGTTGTGTAGTTATTGCACGCAGTATATAAGTCGGAACGAGCCGGATCGGCCGACTATATCGGATAGCTCCCATACGAGAGTTTGAAAAAAAAAATTCTCACTCCGTTGTTTTTAATCAGATCGACTTGATTTCTTTCAGATGGCGTTTTCTAACTACTATTGAATTTCGGTTTAAATTTGATCAAAATCGGATAAATCTATCATATAGCTGCCATAGGAGAGATCAAAAATATATATAGAATTAAAGGAAATTAATTGATAACGTAATTGTTTTTCATCACACGACTATGATTTTTTGGGTATCAAGTTTTTTAACTAGCCTTGATTTATAAAAAAATTTCATAAAAATCGGACAACTATATCATATAGCTGCCATAGGAAAGATCGAAAAATCTATATAGAATTAACGGAAATAAAATGATAACATCGTTATTTCTTTTCAGAAAATCACGATTTTTGGAATATCGAGTTTAAATTAAATTTTATCAAAATCAGACGACTATATCATATAGCTGCCATATGAACAATAGTCAAAAATATGGAAAATTAATAGAAAAGTCGTCGTAGCTTCGATGTTGTTTAGCGCCTTTATGCATTTTGTTCGATATCTTTGATGACTGCAAGGGTATATAAGCTTCGGCTTGCCGAAGCTAGCTTCTTTTCTTGTTATAATTTTTTTCCGTTAATTTCCGTTAATTCTATATAGATTTTCGATCTTTTCTATGGTAGCTAAATAATAACATCGGATTTTAATCATATTTTTTTGTTGATTCAAGGGATAAAAGCTCCATATTTTGAAAAGCAACGACGTTATAATTCCGATTTTTATAAAATATAATCCGAAATTAAATAGTAGTTAGATTACGCCATCTGGAAGAAATCAACTCGATCTGATCAAAAGTTTCAGCAAGACAGACAGACAGACAGACGGACAAACGGACAGACGTACAGACGTATTTCGATTCAGATTTTGATGCTGATCAAGAATATGTATACGTTATGGGGTCTGAGGTGTATCCTTCACTGCTTTGCAAACTTCTGACTGAAATTATAGATCCCTTTTTCTCTGCAAGGGTATAAAAATCGGACAACTACATATATCATATAACTGCCATAGAAAAAATTGAAAAATATATAAGGTTGTCAAAATAGTCTTGCGGTATTTCCGCTAGGTGTCTTTGCAAGCGCGTAACATAGCTCTAGTTTTATTCCTCGCATCGGTTCACGCTATGCCTTTTTTGAAAGCTTTTTTCACGAGCTAACACGTGTTTGATTTATTGTTTTTAGTCGTTCGTGAGTTATGGTGTCATATTTTACAGTACTACTACGATAAAGGCAAAAATGCATCTCATGCTGCCAATAAAATTTGTGCAGTTTATGGACCCGATACAGTTTCCATTTCCACCGCACAACGATGGTTTCAACGTTATCGTTCTGGTGCCGAGGTGGTCGATGATGCGCCACGCTCTGTAAAGGCTGTCGTCGAAAAGTGCGATAAAATCGCTGAATTGATCGAAAGAGACCGGCATAGTAGCAGCCGTAGCATCGGCCCAGAGCTGGGCATAAGTCATCAAACCGTTATAAACCATTTGAAAAAGCTTGGATTCAACATGAAGCTCGATGTAAGCGTGCCACATGACTTGTCGCAAAAAAACATTTTTGACCGTATGGATGCATGCGAATCGCTTCTGAATCACAACCAAATCGTTACGTTTTTGAATCGGGTCGTGTCTGGCGATGAAAAGTGGCTCACATACGACAACGTGAAGCGCAAACGGTCGTGGTCAAAAAGCGGTGAAGCTGCCCAGACGGTGGCCAAGCCTGGATTGACGGCCAGAAAGGTTCTTCTGTGTGTTTGGTGGGATTGGCAGGAAATCACCTGCTATGAGCTGCTCCCCTATGGCCAAACGCTCAATTCGGACCTGTACTGCCAACAACTGGACCACTTGAATGCACCATTCATGCAGAAGAGGCCATCCTTGATCAACAGAGGCCGAATTGTCTTCCATCAGGACAACGCCAGGCCACACACATCTTTAGTGACTCGCCAGAAGCTCCGGGAGCTCGGATGGGAGGTTCTTTTGGTTCCACCGGATCTCACACCAAGTGATTACCACCTATTTCTGTCCATGGCGAACGAGCTCGGTAGTCGGAAGTTGGCCACAAGAGAGTCCTGTGAAAATTGGCTCTCCGATTTTTTTTGCCAATAGGGCAGCGAGCTTCTATGAGAGGGGCATTATAAAGTTGGCATCTCGTTGGGAACTCGCCATCGAACAAAACGGCACATATTTGGCTTAAATCGCATTATTATAACCAATTATATGAACAATTGAAAATTCAATAAAATGACCGCAAGACTTTTTTGACAACCTGATATATAGAAATAATAATAAAAAAAAATGTAACAGCGTTTTACTTTATTAAAAATACATGATTTTTGGACTGTAGAGTTTTCTAACAAATCTTGAGTTTCGAAATTAATTTCATAAAAATCGGACGACTACAACATATTATATAACCAATATAACAGAAAATTAATTGAAAAATCGTCATAGCCCATAGACATATAATATATGATGACTACAAGAGTATACACGGTGCGTCCATTAAGTTTCGAGACTGATTCCATAAATCGCAAAATAAAAAAGATATTTCAAGTTTTTCAAATTTATTATTTGAAGTATTCTCCCTTCGCTTTAATACACTTCTTACAGCGATTCAATAGTGATTCAAATGCGTGCTTCAGCTCATTTTGTGGAATAGCCTCCAATGCTCATGTCGAAGCCGTTTTAATGGTCTCAACATCTTCAAAAAAGCATCCTTTCAACTTCAACTTCAACTTTGGGAACAAGGAGAAGTCACACGGCGCCAAATCAGGTGAATACGGTGGGTGGTCCAACACACAGACTTGATTTCGGGCCAAAAACTGACGAACAATGATTGATTTGTGACTCGGCGCATTGTCGTGCAACAGACACCATTTCTCTGGATCGCGATATTCGGGTCGAGTACGACGGATTCTGGCCATCAAATGCTTTAAAACTTCAAGATAATACGTGCCAGTGACCGTTTGACCAGTTGGAACGAACTCTTTGTGGATAATGCCTTTACTATCGAAGAAAGTGATGAGCATTGTTTTGATTTTTGAAGGAGATTTTCCCTTTTTTTGGCTTGTGGTGAGTTTTTCGACTTCCATTTCGAACTTTGGCGCTTAGTTTCTGGATCATACTGAAAGCACCATGTTTCGTCGCCAGTAACAATTGATTTCAGAAAGTTTGGATCATTTCTGGCGGCTGCAACGACTTCTCTGCAATGATCTTTGCTCTTTGTTCCATGTTGGAATTTCAACATCAGATCAAAAACTGTTTAGGGAAAACTGTCATATCCTTGTTATTTGTCAAGCAAATGTAATGAAGTTTGACATGTCAATAGAAAAAGGTTTAAGCTTTAAAATGCACCTTCGAACACCTAGCTGGCGCTACTATTTGCTGAGATATGGTTCATGTCTCGAAACTTAATGGACGCACCGTGTATAAGCTTCAGCTCGCCGAAGCTGGCTTACTTTCTTGTTTATATCTCACGAGCATGATTTTTAAAATAAGGAGTTCTTTAACTACCCTTGAGTCAAGAAAAAATTAAATTAAAATAGAATTAACGGAAATAAAATTATAACTCGTTAAAAGCTCCGATGTTGTTCAGCCTTTATGTCTTTTGCTAGACATATTAGGTTGTAAAAAAATCTTGCGGTATTTTTATTGAATTTTCAATTGTTTATAAAATTGGTTACAATAATGCGATTCAAGTCAAATATGCGGCGTTTTGTTCGATGACGCGTTCCCAACGAAATGCCAACTTCATAATGCCCCTCTCATAGAAGCTCGCTTCCCTATAGGCAAAAAACTCGGAGATCCAATTTTCACAGGACTCTCTTGTGGCCAACTTCAGACTACCAAGCGCGTTCGCCATGGACAGAAACAGGTGGTAATCACTTGGTGCGAAATCCGGACTATACGGTGGATGCAAAAGAACCTCCCATCCGAGCTCCCGGAGCTTCTAGCGCGTCACTAAAGATGTGTGTGGCCTGGCGTTGTCCTGGTGGAAGACAATTCGGCCTCTGTTGATCAAAGATGGCCTCTTCTGCATGAGTGCTGTCTTCAAGCGGTCCAGTTGTTGGCAATACAGGTCCGAATTGAGCGTTTGGCCATAGGGGAGCAGCTCATAGCAAGTGATTCCCTGCCAATCCCACCAAACACACAGAAGAACCTTCCTGGCCGTCAATCCAGGCTTGGCCACCGTCTGGGCCGCTTCACCGCTTTTCGACCACGACCGTTTGCGTTATCGTAAGTGACCCACTTTTCATCGCCAGTCACCATACTCTTCAAAAACGGGTCGATTTTGTTGCGATTTAAAAGCGATTCGCATGCGTCGATACGGTCAAAGATGTTTTTTCGCGTCAATTCGTGTGGCACCCATACATCGAGCTTCTTAGTGACTCCAAGCTTCTT